GCACAAAAATCTAGAATGCAAAATCACACTGAAGTCCAAGTATTCAAAGCCAAAGCAGATAGCACATGGGACCGAGTAACCATCCCATTGAGAATGATACAGAAGAATCGTGAGTCAATGTCCATGCCCAACAGGGCAACACCAACAGCATAACCCAAATGTAGCTCTCTCTTGTGAATGGGGTCAGGCGCCCTATCTACTCTACAGCCTATCCTACAACTACAGCAATGAACAGCAACCAGACAACTTGACTACCAGCGAGTGATGATGTCAACACCAATGCAGACCTCCACCATCACCAGGTACGTGTCCTCTTCCCCACACTCTCCCTTGTTACCCACACAGCGCCCTTCACCTCCGAAGTACCACCTTCGTCCTTCACCCCTCTGCGCCCTCTGCAGCCCGGCTATGGTCGCCACGCGCCCAGTGCACAGGCAGCGCCCTACCGCCTAGCACATGCCTGCCTTGCACTATCTCTTAGCGCTGCGCAGCAGCCAACAACTCGCATTTGCGCAGCGTGCCGGTATTGCCCGCAATGGCCAAGATCCCTGCTGCCTCACCCTGCTTGCCTATATGCCAGTGCAGCGTGTGGGCGGCCTCCCTTCAACCTGTGACCGGGGCCCAGAGGCTGAGGCCAACTCGATACAGTTGGGCCCCGGGGCAATGCAGTTGCGCCTCCTTTATCAAGGCCTGCGGCCAGATTCAAACAGTGGGCCGATTTCCCTTTGGCAGTTTCGGCCTCTCTACCTAGCATGCATTGTCGGCCTCACGTTCGAGTGCCCAGGGCTTAACTAACTCAGAGGCCCTGGGTATTTCAGCATTTGCTGAAATCCGAGACTCGGTGCACTCCAACCAACTGGCGTGCTGCAACTGTATAGACCCCACTTCGTGAAATGTTGGCACAGAGGGCTCTTGTTGATTTGCTGGCTTGCCTTCACTTAGGCCGGGCACTAGGCTTGCTGGGGCCTTAGCCCAAAACATGTACATCATGGCAAGGCCCCTACTTGAGGGCTCAATCCTCACATAAGAGTATAATAACAAAAAAATCAAAACTTAATATTAATAATATAAAATAAGTAATATAAACCAAGTATGACACTAGTTGTTGATAGTTGATATCGACACATAATGAAGATACAAAACCTCAAGTCTCACACATCCGAAGACGTATTCAACATGCAAAGTCGTAACTCACAATTACAGATAGGAAGAGTTCATGTACAGAAAGCGTCCCCGACGCGTTTCGGCGACCCCCGTCGCCTCATCAGGGGGTTTCCACCACGTACCATGCACTAGCCATAACAGTCCATCCAACCCACTTCCATTCGCTCTACACACCAGCGTTCCGGACAACTAGTGTCTATTACGACCGTTAGCCTGAAGAGTTTCCCAACTCTGCTTACCGTCCTATATACCTATGGAAAGTCCAGTATCTCACCTACTGAGTACCAGTGTCGAGAGAGTTCCAAAAGCAAGAAAACACGCGAAGCGACAGATGGACTACCGTCATATTCCAGGTAGACCCACTTAGAAGAATCTAACTTGTTGTCGCAAAAACCCCTACGTACACAGTTCAAATCACTCAGCCTATAGTTCAAAAACATAAATACACAGCAAAAGGAAAAATGCAGACTAACCTCTAAGGCACCGGTTCGAGTTTGGAGATGTGAAACGAAAATAAAATTCAGTCTGCAAATTGATTGTTAACCACTGCATAGGATCCCCCAGCCTACGGTCTACAGGCGTAGACAGGCCCAGCATCGGGCTTTACCTGTTCAGGAGACTATCCTATGCAAGGATCAACAATCCTTATCACAAAACAAAGACAAATACATCCATACCCTGTCAATACATTCCGTACCTCAAATCCACCAAATCACAAACAGATACGTCAACCCCCTGTCACACCATTCATGGGAGTCCATGAAAATGAAAAGAACAGCAAATCTATGCTAGACACATACTCCACATCACTTCAACTATACTACATCACCATTTCATCATCATACTACTGGTTGCTACAAAGGAGCTTGACGGTTGTCTGCCAATACTCATCCTTCCCTACAGCGAATCGTCTCAAAACTCTCTCGAAGCAGTCACCGGGATACAGTTTCAAGCGCGGTTCACGCTTGACAGTCAGCACTCGCAACGGTATCTCTGCACGCAGGGTTGTGTTTTGATCGATCCGATGCAAGTAACCTCCAATGATGGCGTTCTTTAGTTGTTTGCTGCCCCAGGACGAATAAGTTTGGCCGTTCTCGAACACCAAACTTTCGTCATTCCAGATTGTTGCTTCGTTCTTGCTCAACTGCACAGAGCCGAAGAACGGAAAGGACTGTCTTGTCCGGATCTCGCAGCCCAGGTATTGTAGCACCCCGTCACCACAGTCAGTCCTTTTCAACGTTAACCCCCTCGGATAACATTCTTCGAATCGGCAAAGGATCTCCTCATACGCCTGCTGAGGAAGTGCTGCCGTAAGTAGAACGACGTCGTCGATCAAACGTAAGCCGAACACATTCCTTCGCGCCTTACCCCTTTGGTTAAACTTCATCTTGCAAAAGGCACACATAATGCACGCCAATAGGGGGCTTGTGCTCTTCCCCAATTGGGATACCGACAATCTGTTGTAGCAGTACCCCGTTTGCAAAGGTGAAGGTATGACTAAGTTCGAACTTCACATAGTTCAAAACATCCGCCAACTCGATACGCTTCCAGTGATCCGCTCCCGTGGTCGTTCCGAAGGATGCCCCTCTACTGCGAGTATTAACTCGCACGTACGATCTCCCCTTCCCCAAATGGTGGCTAACGATCCACTCCACTGCTTCGACAATATCAGCATGCGGTAAGCGGCTGAACATCTCCTTGATGTCATACGCTGGCGATCTGATCAGGCCAACCTGTCGCACTTTCACAAACTTGTTGTTGATTCGCTGCAATCTTCGAGAAAGATGGGAAATAGATTGTAGGTTAAAGTGTGCATCAATTGGCAGGGTGAACAGAAGATGGTTCAGGGCTTTGGAAACCAACCGCCCCGTCCGGACCAGTGGTTCACTGAAGGTCGGGCAGATTGGTCGGTAACGCTCGATGTCCTTGTGCTTAGGCAGCACATATGAGGTACCAAACTGTCCTTTCCCATCCCACGGTGCGATAGTCTTCATGCCAGATTGATGCAGGTCTTCTCTCATCTCCCTCAAAACTTCACTAACAGGTTGCTTCATGATACGATATCCAGAATTCGTAACGAAAGTCCCCATCATCGCACTATGATACACCGCCGGGCACATGACCAGCGTGTCACCCGGATTGCGATCCAACGGAGTCAGTACGAACCCCTCAAGCTCCTTCTTCACACTAATGACATCATAAAGATCGAGTCCCGACCTCCCATCATCAGATCTTTGCATACATTCCTCGAGTCGTGTCGTGTCAAAATTGGGACACACTCCTTTGAAATTCTTCCATGCCAAAAAACCTTCCGTCAACTCCTTACCCAATAAGACAGCGCGATGTACAGTCTTGTCACGCAGAATATCATTCGCGTTAGACAACAACCGGTGGTGAGATTCGCCTTGGCTTAGTCAAAAGCATGCATGCCCCCCTACATAAGGGTAAGGCAACCCTGTGTAGATACAGGTAGACACCGTGCGAGCCGCAAAGGCTCACTGGTTATGGATAAGGTCTCCAATCGATCGATTCTTAGTCCAAACGATTTTTACCTTCCTCCTAGCACGCTTCTTATAAGCTGTCGGCAATTCGCACCTCATGATTTCGCCATTCACCAGCTTCCGTACTTCTACGAGCTTAACACGGTCATCGAACTTAACTCGAATAGTTAGATCGATCGACATACTCAATCCAAAACATTCACGGATACTTCGGGATAATAGGCGTCGTAGATATCTACGGGTTGACTTCTTATGGAAATCCTTGACCATATTGTACAATCTCATCATTGACTTCAGCCCCCCACGAGTTAAGGCTCGACAGAAAAAGTGGATTCTTAAGCAAGGAGACAAGAATACACTGCAGGAATCCCCCGCCCGATTTCCAAACCTTCAGATATTCAAACTCGACGGTCCCCCCCATCTTAAAATATCTGTTTGCAAAGCTTCAGGGTACAGAGACCATCCTGAAGTCTAATCGTGGACTCCCCAAATCGTTTCTTGATCTTCTTCCAGCTATTACTCCAAACATTACCACCGCTCGATACTATCGAGAACTTCCTCACTCCCGTTTCTTCAATTTTCAAAAGCAACTTCATCAAGTCTACTGACCACTCGGTTTCAGTCGATCTCCTAACTCTAATCGGGTTAATAGTTCTACAACTTGCATCAGACGACTGCTTCCGTTAGTTTCGCCCCTTCCGTTTGCGTAAACGTCCCTTCCTTGTGTTCGGCGCCGCGGAGTTTAAAAAAGAAGACCAGAGTCTAATATATGTTCGCTCAAGATCAGGGAGCTCTGACTTCTCACCGTACTCGACAGGGAGTAGGACATACTTACCCACTCCAAAAGAACCCATCCATCGATGGAAGTGGGTGTGATTCTTGGTTCGACATGCCGACACATGCTCACGCCAGCGGGCGTTCACTCCTCTTGTAGTCCTTCCGACATACTGGTGCTTACAACTCAATGAAACAGCAGCATAGATGCAAGAGCCAATGTTAACAAAATCTACCCCGAAACGTACATACAGCTTCTTCTAGGAATCGACAAACTTACGAAGCCATCTGATCTCACCACGAATTGCCAGTAGGATAACTCCGATCCTCAGAATCTCCTCAGCCACAGCGTCAACACGTCCACAAGCATTCCCGTACTCGGTCAACTCACGTACAATATCCCATATCTCCTCAGTTCCGTAGGGTTCTCACGCTTCATCATCTTTCGGTTCACCTTCATCGACAGTTGTAGTGTCTTCGTCCTCCAACTCAACGGACTCAGATTGCTCACAGCCAGGAATTTCGCCAAAGGCAACTCTGGTGCGATGGCTTGTGATGTCAAAGATCGCCTTGATCTTACCGTTGTAGGTCACTCCTTCGTTCTTGCATATCGACTGGAGTTCTTGAGCGTCTAGGCAACGAATCTCCTCCATGTACCGTTGTAGGTCACTCCTTCGTTCTTGCATATCGACTGGAGTTCTTGGGCGTCTAGGCAACGAATCTCCTCCATGACTTGGTTTCGAAAACGCAGCTTCGCCAAAATATTCGACGGGCTTGTATTGTTCTTCTCCACGTAGGGAGACAACTTGGTTTTAATCTTGTGTTTCGATCTTGTGATGCGCCCAGTCGTCGCTCCTCCTTTTGTTGTCTGCGTCCTGGGAGTTCTTTTTGATGGAGTGATCATCTGACGGCTATCATCAAAGACAGGCTCAGGGCCCCTCTTACGCTTCTCATTGATCGTCAACCTCCCCATCTTCTTGCGCAGTCTCTCGGTCTCACTACTACTGCTCGCATGTTCGGAGTCTTCTTCCGATAGTACCACGACCTTCTTCTTGCCTTTAACCTTCTTTGCGAATTCCACCGCCGAGCCAAGGTTGGCCTCCATCCGTTCGAAAAAATCACCCGTTCGAATCGCCATTCGAATCTCAAATCTCTTGTCAATCTCCGCCTCTCTCTCCGCGTCTTTCTGTAGCTTGGCTAATCGCTTCTTCTCCTTCTTCTCACGGGTTTCTTTCTCTTCACGGATATGCTCCTGTTCTTCCTCCGCTTCCTTACGTAGTCTCTCTTCTTCAGCTTTCTTCGCCTTCTCGCACCGAACGAACTCTGAAACCGAGGCCAAGCTTCGGTTCAATTCTTCGATCTGCCGCTGCAGGGCTTCAGCTTCATCATTCTTCGCTTTTGAGACAGCATTTGGAGATGTCGACCTTCCCCTGCGGGTATCGTGCGACGTCGACGGTCGAGCCCTGTTGGGGCATTGGTTTGCGTAATGTCCACGCTCGTCACAACTGAAGCATCTTGGTGGAGATCTACGGTACGGTCTCTCATGACTTCTATATCCACCACGTTCTTCACTGCTTGATCGATGCTCCCTCCGCGCGTAATCCCTCCGTTCACTAATCTTGAACAACAACACGCCTCAACAAATCAAGTAGAACAACAACAACACCACTTTAATGTAACATCACGCTCACTCCCCTCGGTAACTTCTATCCAATAGTGTTCACGTGTGCAGTCAATAGTTGATATCGACACATAACGAAGGTACAAAACCTCAAGTCTCACACATCCGAAGGCGTATTCAACATGCAAAGTCGTAACTCACAATTACAAAGTCGTAACTCACAATTATAGATAGGAAGAGTTCATGTACAGAAAGCGTCCCCGATGCGTTTCGGCGACCGCCGTCGCCTCATCAGGGGGGTTCCACCACGTACCATGCACTAGCCATAACAGTCCATCCAACCCACTTTCGTTCGCTCTACACACCAGCGTTCCGGACAACTAGTGTCTATTAGGACCGTTAGCCTGAAGAGTTTCCCAACTCTGCTTACCGTCCTATATACCTATGGAAAGTCGAGTATCTCACCTACTGAGTACCAGTATCGAGAGAGTTCCAAAAGCAAGAAAACACGTGAAGCGACAGATGGACTACCGTCATATTCCCGGTAGACCCACTTAGAAGAATCTAACCTGCTGTCGCAAAACCCCCTACGTACACAGTTAGAATACTCAGCCTATAGTTAAAAAACATAGCTACACAGCAAAATGACACTACACATAAACAAATTCGTAATTTATATTAATGAAGTAAAAAATAAAAACTAAAAATTATTTTTTTTAGAAAAAAATATAAAAATAGAATAAAAAAATAAAAATTAAAAAATATATATATAATTTATGTGAATTGTAAATAATAATAATAATAATAATAATAATAATAATAATAATAATAATAGTTAAAAAGTAAAAATAAAAATAAAAATAAAAATAAAAATAAACTGCAAAGTAAATCAAAAACCACAATTTAGAAACACAATGCAATTAATAATAATTTTTACAAAATAACAAGCAATGAGGACACACATCGGAAGGGAAAGCCTTCAACAACAACCACCACCATCACACATACACACGAACAAACAAAAAACTCCCCATAAAAAAACACCAGCTGCACCCAAGTTAAAAAAGTTATGGCTCCCCCACAAACAACCGAAAAAAACAAAAATAAAAAACGCCTCCCCTGGCTACACAAGACAACGTCCGCGACCCACAAACCACCAATTAGAAACGAACCAGATTAATCAATTAAGAAATAAAAAAAAAACACTACATAAATCACGAACTACCACATAGGAACTGAACTCCCGCCAAAACGAAAAGACACATGGAACGTAGTAGGCAACCCATACGACAACACCCTGCAGCTAAAATTCAAAAAAGACCTCACACGAAAGCCCCAACTGAGCAAACAGACACATCAAACACGACACTTGCCTCTCCGAAAAACGACGCAGAAAGATCACTTCAGTAATGAGACATCCCTACCCACCATACTTCAGCAAACGAAAAATTGTCGACTACTGACGAAACAGACAAACCACGTCATACCCTGCCATAACCCGGAATGCTACCTCACGAAAAAACGTGCAAAGCAAACATGGAGAGAACTCTCCCGCCCGCTCCCTCTGCACCCTACACAGCACGCAGACTCCATACTACACTGCATCTACCTATGCTTAACCATTACAAAAGCACACAACCCCCCGCACACAGAAGATTGCTTCACAAAAAACCCCACTGGCTCCAACACTCACACACATTCACGCATATGACATGCTACAACCCTCAATACACAATGACACACAACTTATACATAGCTAGCTATGCATACACTTGCTCCCGCACCACGCAACGAGCGCAAATCCGCGATCTCAACACCGTGCTGCGAACACTTCCTCCTACCCCCACGCAATCACAAGCATCCACCTCCTTCCTAAGAAGTCGAGCATCTCCTCTAGCTCGCCAATACGACTGTGTGCACACACTAGTCCTGACCAAGGGCTACCAAGCTCCTAGCACACGACTGCAATCCGTGTGAGCCAATTCAGGCGGGAGCTACCGGAGATATGGCTGCTGGCGAAGAGGCGTCTTCTTCACCAACCCTCGGCATTCAGGTACGTCCCTAATCACCCTCCCTGTGATGGATACTGTCGTATATGCTAACATAACTCTGCTAATTACTAACGGGAGCCAGAGGATGTCCCTCTGATGAGCTGCTATGGGTGCTCGGCGACGAAAAGCGCACTTCAGGGCGTGCACCCCCCCTATGGTTGTTGTTCAACTGCCATCTCTAACTCTAATTACTAACTCTAACTACTGATTATCTGCTTCCCCCCTAACCGTTCCCGCATTCCTACATCCTCTAAAAACAGTTGATGATTAATATTTCCATACTTAAACTGCTACTAAATTGCGTTGCAATATGACTTAGACATCAGAACTTGTTTCCCGTTAATACGGGATGGCCATGTTTTACACACCCATCACATACATACCCAGATAAAATTTATCCAGTCGCTAAGTTAGGGTCGACTCCCTTGCTGACAAGATCTCCTACGTCAATGCCACATCTGCAATCCGTAACTCTTTGCAGTTCTACATGCTAAACCACCCTTCCACCTTCCCTTCTTCCCCCAACCCCCAATCTGCTTTCACCACCACATAGCAGCGCCCCCGTGCTACGCTCCACACATGCATACACAGATCGTAAACATACACGCACGCTTATACAACATACACCATAGCTATGAAATGGCGACACTGCTGACACTATTGCTAGGCAATCTCGCCTCTCCCTGCGCCTCCACAAACACCTGCAACCGATCGCTTCCAGTGCGATTTCTTGTGAAAAGTAATACTAGTTGCTGATCCGTAAGAACACGAACCTGCCACCTACTCAGCCGTGTGAGTATGATCACGTTCCTCGCCTTTCCGTTCGCAGAATGACAATACATATATATATATGTACTTTTACCCTCCGTTCCCTGATTAAAGTACTATACACTTGAACTCCTGAAGGTAGGGCACAATTAGAATATGATGACAATCAGGGTCTGCCGTACACCGAATAGACGTCATTTTTCCAACCTCCCCATGCTTGTTGAACATGAAACTACTTGTTTCGTAAATGGTACCTTGGCGCTTGGCTGAGAAGGCATGAACAACTATTGTTTTCCCCGCAAATACTCCCCTGTTTCCTTCTTGGTCTCATATCGCTCTCTATTTCTCCCCCTTTCTTTTACGCTCCCAAAACCACACCGGTTTTATACTTCCACAGTCCAATTAAAAAGATTGCCTGCTTAAGTTCCCGAACAAACAACACATTTGCACTTCCTCTCCTGAATGATAAAAGGTTAATATACAATTGTGCCTCTGTAAGTAGGACATTGCTGGACCATGTTGTTTTTCCGTACCCCGTGGTCTCGCGTTTTACGTTCCATGTACATATATTTAGACTGTCATTTTCCCAAAGTTGATTTGTACTAAATGATCGCTAAAATTTACCATGGACATGCGGCGCCCAATAGAATGAGGAAATAAAAAAGTGGCGGTGTATATTTCCACGTTTCAGCGGAGGATTCATGGAATGTGTGTGTGGGTGTGTGGGTGTGTGTGTGCGTGTGTGTGTGTGTGTCACAGTGTGTGTGTGTGTGTGTGTGTGTGTGTGTGTGTGTGTGTGTGTGTGTGTGAGAGAGAGAGAGAGAGAGAGAGT